CATAATGTTGGTTTGCTTGGGCTTATCGACACGAACCAAAGGCAGCTGCTGCTCCTGATGCTGGGCTTCTTGGGCCCCTTGACACAAAAGAAAGGGGCAGCTGATGCTTATGATGCTGGGCTGCTTCGGCCCTGCTCACGCGACTGGGATGCTTGGGCCCTTGGACACAAACCAAAAGCAGCTGATGCTCATGATGCCGGGCGGCGTGGAGCCAATTCGACAAAATCAAGGGACAACTGATGCTCATGATGTTGGGCTTTCTGGGCCTGTGGACCCAACCCCAAAGCAGCTGATGCTCATGATGCCGGCCTGCGTGGGCCCAATTCGACAAAATCAAGGCACAACTGATGCTCAGAATGCTGGGTTGCTTGGGCTTATCGACACGAACCAAAGGCAACTGCTGCTCATGATGCTGGGTAGCTTGGGGCCTCTGACACACATCTGGGCAACTGTTGCTCATGATGCCGGGCTGCTTTGGCCCTTCAAGACGAAACCAGGGCATCTGCTGCTCATGATGCTGAGCTGTTCGGACCCTTTGACAGACAGCAAGGGCAGCTGATGCTCGCGATGCTCGGCTTCTGGTATTTGTATAGTTTTCCTAAACTCCCATGCAGCACAGACCCATATCTAAGTCTTTAAAGCAACGTGTGCCCGCTTGCAATCTCAAGTATTCCGCAACCGCTTGCAGTTTGTCTGAATGTCAGCACTCCGTCAAAAATACAATCTTGTAATCACAAAACTTTGCTGGTAGCTGTAGCCCTGGATTGTTGCCATCAACTTGTCAACCCTGCCCGACAATGTGAACCTGTCTTTGGGCAAATCAAGGGTTTTTTTGATGTGAATGTGTGAGGTTAGGGCAATGGCACGATCAAGATTTAGGAGGTGATTTGGTCGGTTACGATGGCAGAGTATTCTGGGGGCCCATGAAACCCGAAGTCCGTCGTGATCCAGAGCGTTCAGTCTTAGTAGCTCACAAGCATAGGCTCCCACAAGCCCCAAGCATGCAGAATCCCGGCCTGTGTCGATTACCTCGTTGACGTGAGGACCCCCGAACGCCACAATGTTGGCAATGATCCTCAGCTTATGCACGGGCAGCATCAGAGAATAGTGGCAGAGATGTTCTGAGGGGGGCCGGCAAGGCGCAGCAAGGCTTCCTTCCTGGATACACGTCTGGGGTCTGAAGCGTAAGCTAAACGCAAATTTCACGTAGCTTGCAGGCAAACACTCACGCCGGATGTATCGGGACGCCCAAAACCACGAGAGGCGGTAGATCAGGAACAACTGGGCTCCTGACCCCTTGACAGGCACCTAGCTGCAGCCACCAGTGGGCGCATAGCACCATGACAGGCGCCTATCGCCTAATGCCATGACAGGCAGCTGGGCACCTAACGCCAGGACAGGCGCCTATCTACGGGCACAACTGGGGCCTAACGCCATGACTGGCGCCTGGATATCTGCAGCAACTACTGGGCGCCTAACGCCATGACAGGCGCCTATCTAACCGGTCGCCTAACGCCATGGCAGGCGCCTCTATTGCCACAACTGGGCGCCTAATGCCATAACAGGCGCCTATCATGTAGCCACAATTGGGCGCTTAACGCCATGGCAGGCGCCTATCTATCGCCACAACTGGGCGACTAACGCGATGACTAGCGCTTATCTACTGCCACAAGTGGGCGCCTAACGCCATAACAGGCGCCTATCATGTGGCCATAATTGGGCGCCTAACGCCATG